TGGAAATAGCTAGTCTTTTCCATTTTCCTGAACATCCGCTACTAGCTCAGCCTGTTAGCAACAGCAGCGTGGTCCCTGGCTACCGTTTGTCTTGTTTACACATTTTTACTCACAAACTTATGGTTATTTGTTTTAAATGGTGAATGTGTTGGATGTGTGTCTACCTCTGAGTGCAGGTGAGGACACGTTCAAGCTGCACACAGTGAGGTTGGAGCTAGAGGCCGTGGAGAAGCAGATCCGCGACCTACTGGAGAAGCAGGCCCAGCTACGAGAGTGGAGAACAGCGCTTGAGACATCCCGCGCTGATGCCCACAAATCCATGGTAAGCTTCCCGAATGATGTTAATACTCCTACCACCTCTACTCCATGTGTTTCGCTGCTCAGTGCCTGTGCACCCAGGATGCGATCGGACGGACTCTGGGTGCTTCAGCAGCGGAAGGCTCGAGTCAGGCCCCGGACGAGGACCTTTCCCCCTCCACCGCCCCCGGTCTTTGAGATCTCCACCTGGAACCACTTTGCCCCTCTTCGTGAGATGGAACGTGACGCTGTGACTCGATCGTCTGGCACGTCCCTGCTACCTCAGCTAAAGGTAAGGTGCGCATTCATTGTTTTCCTGGTGCTCGTGTTCTTGATGTTGCTGCACAGGTACCCGCAATCCTGAAGGGCGACGAGAGCATCGGAGCTGTCGTGCTGCACGCGGGGGTGAACGACATCAGGCTGCGGCAGATGGAGGTCCTGAAGCAAGACTTCGCAACACGTCACCCTAGACGAGGATCATTGTTTCTGGACTGCTTCCGATGTACCGACGAGGAAATGAAAGGTTCAGTAGATTATTTGCTCTTAATGAATGGCTAATGTCGTGGTGATATGAACAGAAACTGCTCTTTGTTAATAACTGGAATCTTTTCTGGGAGTGACCTAGGCTCTTCCGTGCTGATGGCCTGCACCCCAGCAGAACAGAAGCAGATCTTCTGTCGGACAACCTCTGATGCTACACACTGTATGACTAGTAAGTCAAACCTCAAATCACAGTCTTTGTTGTTCTACCAATTTCATCGATAGTAGTGCATGTGTAGTCCATTCGATAAAGACTGTGTCTGTTCCCCAATTAATAAGATCAAACAATAAATCTACTATAGGATCTAGAAAAAATGTGATAGTGATTAAACCAGAAAATCACAAATTAAGTGAACAAAATGTATTTCTAAAGCTTGGGCTCCTAAACATTAGATCACTCAAACCTAAGGCGGTTATTGTAAAAAAAAATATCACAGATAATAGTTTTGATATACTCTGCCTTACTGAAACCTGGCTTAAACCTAATGATTATTTTGGTCTAAATGAGTCTACTCCTCCAGGCTACTGTTATAAGCATAAGCCCTGTCTGATTGGCCGTGGCGGCGGTGTCGCAACAATATATAGAGATATTCTTAATGTTACTCAGATAACTGGACACAGGTTTAACTCATTTGAAGTGCTTGTGCTAAATAGTATGCTTACAGATAGAAGAAAAAATCCCTGCTATCTTTCGTTTTGGCTAACGTGTATAGACCTCCAGGGCCCTATGTTGATTTTCTTAAAGAGTTTGCAGATTTTCTCTCAGACCTACTGGTCAATGTTGATAAAGCATTGATTGTCGGAGATTTGAACATTCATGTTGATAATAAAAATGATGCGCTAAGGGTTGCGTTTACAGATTTACTAAACTCATTTGGGGTCATGCAAAATGTCACTAAACCCACTCACCATCTTAATCATACACTAGACTTAATTATAATCGCATGGAACCAGTCTTATTGATATAGACATGATACAGCAAAGTGATGATGTTACTGATTACTACCTTGTAACGTGTGTACTTAATACCGCTGATATTTGTCATATCGCTCCACGTTAATTATCCCAACCACTAAAGATAGATTCACAAATAACCTGCCTGATCTGTCTCAGCTGCTCAGTGTTCCCATAAACACAAATTAACTAGAAGAAATGACTAGCAGTAAGGACACAATCTTCTCTAATACATTAGATACTGTCGCACCCATCAGATTAAAAAGGGTTAGAGAGAAAAATACTGCATCATGGTAAAACAGTAATACTCAGGCTCTAAAGAGAAATACTCGTAACCTAGAGCGCAAATGGAAACAAACTAATTTAGAGGTATTTAAAATTGCATGGAAAGAAAGAAGCTGCCTCCGCCTTACACGCTATGGCGTTACTGCAGGTTTTTCAGGCTAAAGCACTGAGGGACCTGCACGAGGGTGGTCACGATCCGGAAGTTCTGAAAGAGCTCCAAACTGCAACTGACCTCGCGCTCCGAGCGACGAAGGTCACTGTGAGTTCTCTGTGTCGTGCGATGTCCACACATGTGGTCCAGGAGCGCCATCTCTGGCTGTGTCTGGCCGACATGAGGGACGCCGACAAGTTCGATTCCTCAAGGTCCCTGTGTCCCAGACCGGCCTCTTCGGTGACTCACAGTCGAGAATGTGGCCCAGCAGTTCTCGGCTGCACAGGAGCAGACTGAGGCGATCCGACATGTCCTGCCCTGGTGGGCAGCTGCTGCTTCCACCCGTCCACCAGCCGCAGTGCTCCAGCCTGCAAGGCACCGAACCCCCAACTGCTCCCCGGGCGCCTCAGCATAAATGGCTGCCCACTGCTCCGGGTGTGTGTTCACGGTGTGTGTGTGTTCACTGCTGTGTGTGTGCACTTTGGATGGGTTAAATGCAGAGCACTAATTCCTAGTATGGGTCACCATACTTCGCCACATGTCACGTCACTTTCACTTTTTTCACTTTCACTCTACTAGAAGTGTTACATCCTCCTGGGCGCTGGCTCGTGGTGCCTCGCTGACAGATATTTGTAGAGCTGCGGGCTGGGCGACCCCCAACACGTTCGCTAGATTCTATAGCCTTCGTGTGGAGCCTTTGCCAGTGTTATCCAATCTCACTGAATGGGTAGTGCTACGACAGCAGTGACTGGTCTTCTTGTTGTGAGCACCAAAAAGGGGCGCAGGAGGCTCGCACAGGACACTAGAAGGGCAGCATCCATGGCACTTTGGTAGGGATCCTAATTCGTCGTCACCGACGTGACGTTGTGACCGACGTGATGTGACGTGACGTGCAATCATCGCATGCCAATGTGCATTGGCTCGTTTAGTTTACACTCGAAGGGGATTGGTCTCTCTAAGCAAGATCCCAATTCATCGGTCACCGACGTGATGTCTCCGTTCCCTCCTTCAGGGAACAAGGGTAACATACGTAGCCGAGATGTTACCTATTAACAGTATTTGAAAAATAATGTGTTTTTTTAACATTTAAGCATGTCAACATATTCTGTTACACCAAATACACAAAATAATGATCTTTAAAAAAGCATCATATGACCCCTTTAACTGATCTTCTTATGCCCTATAGTCCATCACGCTCTTTAAAATCACAAATCTCTGGACTTTTAGTAGTACCTAGGATATCTAAGTCCACTAAAGGAGAGAGATAATTTTCCCATCTGGCTTCTAAACTCTGGAATAGTCTTCCTGATAATGTCCGGGGCTCAAACACACTCTCTCTGTTTAAATCTAGATTAAAGACACACCTCTTCAGCATTCCCATAATGAATCTCAATCTCACCCTTGTTCCCAGTTAGATCAGATAAAAGTTACAAACATATTTTTTGCTTGACATTTTATGAACAGCAGCTACGCTAATTCTTTTCTATCTGCCTTTCTGTTCCTACCTCGGAATGCCCATCTCGAGGTATCTAGACATTACACCAGCTCCAGCGTGGATCCAGCCTCATAGAAAGACTTCAGATGACCCAAGACCTGTGAAGAGATGATGCTGAACCTTGCGAGGACCCCAGATAACGCCAACTTGAATCGACATGCACAGCTGCCAGAATGTATCTATATTGTAATCATTATGATCACACTTGTAATAATCACTTTAATGAGCTTCAGCCTAAAATTAATTCATGTTAGCTAACTGTATGATCTATTATCTTGAACTGTTCATCTGTGAAATGAACATTACTTGGACACATTCACTTCTGCTTTGTAATGTAGACACATGCATTTACTGTAAAGCTGCTTTGAAACAATATGTATTGTGAAAAGCGCTATGCAAATAAATTTGAATTGAATTGAATGGAATATCTAAGATCAGCCAAGAGACACAACCTCCGACAAGCAAGATGGACTTTTTTCTTCACAAGATTCAATTTCACTGTTACCTATCTCACCTAAATCAGACACACTTTCACAGCAATTTGATACAGATCCAGATTCTCAAGTACCAGAGAACATCATCCCATCTTCACTCATTGGGCCTCATTCATGAAACATTTGTAAATATAGGAATACATTCTGAGTAATTTGCGCGTAAAACGGACCTTCCAGAAAACTCTCCTCCGGATTCACAAACGCTTCGTAAACATCAGATTTGATAGTTAAACATGTGTATGTTAATGAATTCCAATCTTTCGTAAATGGGGCACACGTGCACCCTCATTCACAATTAGCATAATCCCCGCCTCTGAATTCCGACTGACAAATATATATGGGCATCATATTATGAAACGAAAATAAGGATTTCAACATGTCCTCTCAAAAGCAAATGAAAAAGAAGAATTTCTCAGACGCAGAAATTGAAGTTTTAATATCGAAAGTGCATTCAAAACGCAACATTTTCAAGCATACATACTGGAGTATTGGCAGCACATTACAGATGCTGTTAATGAAGTTTCATCTGTTAATGAAGACAACACTGTTAACAGTCCCGGAAGTTAAAAGGAAATGGTTCGACATGAAGCTTGACTGCAAAAAATGCATTACTTAATTTCGACAAAATCGTATACAAACAGGAGGACCACCATCATCATCGAGCGTATCTGCATGCGATGAACGCATCATCAGCATAATTGGTGAACCCTCTCTGTCGGGTATAATTCCCAGTGGTGACAGTGATGAACCCCCCCTTGCAGGAAAACACTTTGCCACAATCACATGGTGAGGCTACAGTTTTATTAAATAATTTAGGTCAATTTTAAAGTGTTAAAAGTAAGAGATATAATAATTTTAGAGGAAATGCACATTTGAGCTGATTTTTTTTAAATTCTTTGTAAAGACAGACAAATGCCAACTGTGTCCGCCCATGAGACCACTGAAGCGGCAACCAGACCCATTCATCCTACGGCACCTGGACCGGTAGTATATTCCGCACCATCCCGCAGTGTTGGCTCTGCACAGATGGTTTTAAGTCAAGAAGTGCTGGATAAACAAGAAATAACATGTTAAAAGAAATAAATGCAAGCATACGAGAAATATGTGACGCAATTAAACATAAAAAATAAAGTTTACAGAAACTATTTTGTGTGCTTGTTTTTAATCGCATACATGCACTCTTAGAAATGTTGAATTAGTTCCTGTCGCTTTGCAACTGCAGCCACAGGTATGACCATGTTTCTGATAGGTGACCTTGGAGGCACCATACCATGCTCAGTTCTAAGTATATCCTCTGGGTCTGGCAGACCATGTTCCATAGCAATGTTGTGTAGAACGCAGCAGGCCAGTATTATTTGGCAAACTTTTTCTGGTCTGTAATAGTGTACCACCTGATGTGTCCAAACACCGCCAGCGTCCCTTTAAGATCCCGTTTGTGCATTCAATAACTGACCGAGTTTTTCAGTGTGCTTCATTGTATACCAGCTCCTGCTGGCTTTGGGGATTTATCAAAGGGGTCATAAGCCATGGTGTCAGGGGATAACCTCTGTCACCTAAGTGTGAGGGGGGAGGGAAAAACTGTTATTTTTAAAAACAGGGTTTACATACCAATTAGCCATCCATCTTCAACTGCACCACTGTCCAAACGTCTGCCAACTGAGCTGCTCCGAAGGATGAAACTATCATGAGTTCCACCTGGCCAGCGGGCCACAACATTAAATATTGCACATTTAGCATCACAAATTATTTGCACATTGATGGAATGATAGTTTTTCCAATTCAGAAATGCAAATGCATCATTTGATGGCGCCTTGATGCGAATGTGTGTGCAGTCAATTGCCCCGATGACGTTTGGCAGGTTTGTAATTGCAAAGAATCTCTGCTTCACTTCCAACTGATGGACTAGGTTATAGGGTAATTTTATATATTGAGGCAGTAGCCGTATTAGGCCATCAAGAACATCTGGGATGATGCGACTCATGGATGACTGAGATATCCCTGACCTGTCTGCAATCTCCCGCTGGAATGTTCCTGTTGCCAAAAAACCAAGCACGGACAGCACCTGCAAGTGTTCAGGAATGCTGTGGGATCTTCTGGTTTCCCTTCTGAGTTTGGCCTCCAATATACTGCATAAATACAAAAGAAGTGGTCCGGGTAGTCTGAAACGACTAATCAACCAGTCATCATTCTCTGCAAGTAAGTCTGCACGGTCTCTAAAAATACGTCTTTTATGCAGCGCTCTGTCTGCCAAATCTAGCAATAGCGCTATATCAGCCATAGGAAATGTTTACTGTTATGCCTGATTCTGGCCATTTTATAGAAAACCATTTCCGTAATAATTGTCAGTCTAATTGGTACATCCCTAACAGAAGTAATTAATTAACCCAGAAAACAGTAAGAGGCAATAAAGCTTTAATTGCAAACAAGCATGTTAGCCTGTTGCTATAAATAAGGTTTGTTGGATATTGCTTTCTTTTACTCAGATCACTGGAAAAATATGGTTTACAAGCTACTTATGAATTGTCTGGTGCTCATGTTGGCATAAAATATGCAAGCTGCTTAAAGATAATTTTTTTACAACTGTTAAGTATTGACATCACTGATATTTTAATGACTTCAACTACTAAACATGTAGATCCATAAAATAAGGTGAGATGAATTTGCATGTTCACACATTAATTAAGTCAAGGTTGGGAAAGCTGCTTTGAAATTTTAGCTTTCCAAATTACTATTTAAAATGGTTTGGCTGCCTTGGTTAACTTATTAAAGTTGTTAAGTAAACTATATGTTACTAAATGAAAGTACAGTAGCTAAGTACATTGAAGCGATCTAAATATATGCATTTGGCAACATCAACTATGCAGATTTTTTTTTTTTTTACAGATGAATGAGACAGCAAGACTCACAAAAAGGAGGGCTTCTGAACAGATTCATTTAAAACAGGTGTGTGCATTGGACTTAGTGCTGATTAGAAGAGTACTCACTGAGCTTGCCAAATGTTACACAGATTTGAATAATATTTTAGTCTTAATTGTTGAAAACACTCTGGAATGATACCTTGCAGTTTAGAAGCAAGTTGGGTATTGTTTGAAGATCCAACAGCTCGGAAGCGTCACTGTTGGAAAGCTGAGGTAAGCAGATAATAATGTAAGCATACCTCCATGCCAGAAATATCAGATCCAGCCACGGATGCCAGAACCTGTCAGAAAATATCTGTTTTGTCTGGTAACAGAACAACTAGTCAGCAAAATTGTCTAATACCCAAAATCTGTTAAAGGACGTCTAGTCTGGTACCCAAAACTGTGTTAACAGTCTTTTATCAGCCAAGATGTTGACTGTGTAAAGCCAGAGGAGAGCAGAAACAGGAAACGAAGTAATGATAATAAAAAGGAGCAGAGTTTATTGAATAATCTTAAACCAGACTCACACTACAGGATTTTTGGCTGGATTTTGCTGTCGCGGACAGATTTCCACAGTCTGCGACAAAACCCCCGGATCGTGACCAAATTGGTACTCGTTGCGGTCGCCGAAGCTCGTTAAGTATGAGCAGGCCAGCAACGTGATCCGAACCTGTCTCAAGCTATCACAGACGCTACGATATTTTCAAACCTGTTTGATATTATCACCACGTGATCTCGTAATGTGAGTGACACAATGACAAGGTGGAACTAATCCAGCCAATCACAATGCAGATGGTATAAACACTCTCATCATGCATCTTTATAAATAGAAACGAAAAGCCAAAAATTCATCAAATCAACTAACTAGAAATAAATTTAACAAATGCATATCTTTTGTGTATATAATCCCACATTTCATTGTACTGTTCATCTTTCTGATGTACTGCATTCATCTTTCTGCAGTACTGACAGTCCACGTCTTCCAAGCCATTGTTTCTGCCATATTCTCTTTTGTCGTGGTTTCTTCTTTCTTTCGGATAAAATAACTGCACAGACCAATTGAAGGGCCAGTTGATCGTCCATGCTTGAAGAAATGGCCTATAATCGCTGTAATGTCTCGCGAGAATTTATGTGAGAAAACGTATTTTCGCTGATGGTCGGGAACGCCTCTTCACTGAATATTTTGTAGTATGTGCACCTCATTAGCGTTGTGTTGTGTAGTATGCGCACAGCTATGACAAGATGACGACAGATGAGAACAAATCTTGTTGCATAGTGTGAGCAACACAGTGATTCGGCTAGTCTTTCAATCCTGTAGTGTGAGCCCGGCTTTATTTGTGTATGTTTCAATGCTCAGACTTCGTCTGACAAACACAAATCCAACAAGTAGTGTTATACCAAACTTGTAGCTTCACAACAACATCCCATAAACCTTGAATTTCCATAAATATTTCTCTTATCTCTTATTCATGAAGACAAATGAATGAATGATTGAATGAATGAAAGTAAAACACAACACATATGCATGGTTGCTCTCCTGAAGCAAAACACACAGTTTGCACTTGAGGATCCTTAGATCCTTCAGAGGCTTTTTGGTAACAACTTTGTAAGTTGTGGGAGAAACATTAAACACTGGAGGAGAAAATGACATGGAGCAACGGGTTAAGCAATGGGTTTTCTTTGGGTGAGTGGACGGGGCTAAATGCCAGAAAAGCTGTCTGCAAAAAACTGCTGCTTATATGCTTGCATTGATAATGATTGAGAAATATAAATGTACAACTGATTTTCCAGAAGACTAATATAATATGTCTGTGCTCTTTTACTCATATCAGAGTACATCATATTCATTATATTTCTGAAAAATAAAAGTGCACCTACAAGACTCTGATAGGGACTCATTCTAAGTAAGCCTTATTTGATCATTTGAGCATTAGAGTCATATAATTAGTGTCATAATTGTGGTTGTAATAGTGTAATAATTGTGGTTGAAATGATACATAAGGGCTTCATTTCAGGAGTTGTCGTTTAGTGTAACTCTCTTTCATTTCACAAATTTGACATACATAACTTTTTGAATAAAACTTCAGAAGTGAGAATGTTATAAATGGGACAATTTTTAGAAAAATGTATCTGTAAAGAAAGATCACATGAGTATGCAGGCATAACGATAGACAGCAAGAAGTGTGAGTGTCTGAGCATCAGACGTACATGTTCAGGCAAGACACTGTCAAATGCACCATCCACTCAACAGTTCTTCTGCTAAAATTATGACCATGGAGAAATGGCAATCAATGGCACAAAACAGCCTTAAGGACAGTGATTGACCTGTCTTCATCTGTGAGAGCTTACAGGAGTACACTGATAGCCTAAACTAACCCATTTAATTCATTTTGTTCCCATCTAATATGTATTTGTCTGTGAGAAGCAGAATCATCACCATTTTTGCCAACCTGCAACTTCGAGCAGTTCTTATGTCATTTATAATGGTAGAACAGACCAGTAATTTTAATTAAATTTTAAATACTGAGGCAATTTTATACTACAGCAGAGTCAGCACATGATCTATAGATTCACAAACACAGCAGTCAGTGAGAATCATACCTGTGTAGCAGCATGTAATGTCCAAATCCAATATTTGCATATTTGTTGTGTCATTATAGCAATAAAATAAAGATTAGCACATTCCTTTCTTGCTGATAACAGCATGTCCTCTCAATGCAGAAAGGGGTACAATTGCATCATACTAGTATAGTCTAAGGCATTGTCAAAAATCTAGTATTAAAGGGATTGTTCACTCAAAATTGAAGATTCAGGCATCATTTACTCACCCAAAGACATATTACCTTCTTTCTTTAAAAAACAAACACAAACTGAATTTATTATTTGGCGAAAATCTTGTTCTTGGTTCTCCTGTGCATTCATGAGAGTACATAAAAACAACAGTAAATACACGATTTTTAGAAAACGAGTTTAATAAAAGCACTACACAAAACACATTTTTATGTACATATGAGTGCTTGTCAGATTAAAATATTGAAACACTTCTAAAAATTACATTACTTAATATTTGCATTATTGTCGTCTGTATGTTTGCTTTATACTTCATGAGACATAAACAACATACTTCATACAACATACTAAATCAATTGTTCTCAAATCAAATTGTGCTAAATTTGTTCTCTGTTTGCCTGTAAATTAAATTTTTGTGTTTGACAGGTCAATATCAGCTGTTTTTTTTTTTCTCTCCTTTTAAATTCAAAGACTGTGCATATTCAGTTGTGTGAAGCTTTACTCAAATTGCCCTGTGGGAGCCGATGCTTATGTCTTGTGCTAATGATTAGAAATGTTGCTTATATGAGCCACAGTACATTTTCCAAACATCTTGTAGACGTGGCATGAGAGCACTTCAGGAATGAAAACATTAACTGATTTGATTCGATTAGCATCCTCTTTTGAAGAGACAGAGTGAAGCAAAAAGTATTGTCATTTTGAGGTCCCTAAGAGACAATGAGGAGGAAAGTGTGGAAAATGAAATAAAAGCAGAGAGCATTTTTGAGCACTAAAGCACTAACGATTAAAGGTAAATGCTCAAACTGAGATAGTGGCTCTAAATGAATTAGCCAGAGATAGCATGTTGTGCTGCATTTGTGGGGGTAGTCAATTTTAATTAGTGTTTTGGAGACAT